ATCTACCTATAAGGTACCTATTTGTATATGTAAACCTGGAATCTGCAAACAGATATGACTTAATCCTTTCTTGCTCCTGTCAGAGGCAATGCATAAGAGTGTTAAAAATATGGGAAAGTATAGTGACTGACGGGCACAAGTTTTATTGGATAAAGCTCTATAAAGAAGTGAAACCATGCAGATTATATACACTATTCAGATATTGTAATATAAGAAAGTGGTACACTCTGTCATGCATCACTTTGAAAGGCTTCACATTGGTTTTATTTTCCTTTTAATAGCATGGACCAGTAGATAAAGCACTGAACAAGGAGTCAGAAGAACCAGAGATAATTTCTTCCTGTATCACTTAGCACTGATATTCCCATGGAGCATCTTTTTTTGCTTCAGGCCTCTCTGTGAAATGAGAATAACCATACTGATCTTCTATCACAAGCTTCTGCAAAAGAGATTTATTTTTCTCAATCACATGCCTAACATAACTTCTTGAGGAAATGCCTAAACCTAGCTCCAAGATCTACATACCAGGAAACTCCACTGTCTTTCATAGCCCAGAGCCTGACCTGAAAATCACAGGCTTTTGACTTAAGTCCATGTTTTGTAGAGGGTTTAACCCTTGGGAGAAAAGCAGTGCTCATTAACACTTAGTCAAGGTAAAATTTCAAAAGCAAACTTATTAAGTGGTCAATTGAGGAGACGCAAAGTTCCCAGCTTGAAATGCCGTCTTAGTGGTGCCATTGTCAGTGACAGAGCAGAACGACTGACCATTTTATTTTTTGAAATCCACTGAGTGTTTGCAATTCACTTTGATTTGTTGTCAGTATGCCCTTGTTTCTCTATGGCCCTTCTCTTTTTCATATGATTTTTTTGATCATAATCAGGTGTTTGATAGATTTTGTTTTTCATTGTCTTAGCTATGGTAATTGCCTTAGATAATTGCCCTATGATTTTTTTTTGGATGGCTCTTTCAGGTAGGCATGATTGTGCTGACTCAGCTTGATGAAGTGTATTAACCCACTCTTCTACTTGTAAAGAAGTGAAGAACTGAGGCTTGCAAAAGGAAACTAAGAGGGTTTCAAAATAATATTGTGTTATTCAGACATTCCTTTTTGAAAAATAACTCAAAAAAAAAAAAAGAAAATCTGTGGAACAGTACTGTCAGAAAAGTGTGATGTCAGATAGCAATGAACACGGATATTCATATTTGCAATGTGGTCATTTCTTACTTAATAATACCTGCAAGAATGCCCTCTGCAATTGATATCTCAGTTGACTTGACAACCTGTTTCACAAATCTTTAATTTACTACTGGAATGTTTTGCAACTGTAACGTGGTTATTGTTACTTTGTATGTGTTTTATTTAGAGCACGTTCCACAGACATTAGTAAAGAGCAATTTTAAAGGAAATGTCTTGGGGCAATGTGTTTTGTACGAATAAGATATGTGGACTGAGGTCCTCAACATGTTATGGAGACAAAGGTTGCTCTTCAGAGGACTAATGAGAGCTTGAAGTACTGTAGAATTATTTCCTTGTGAAAAATTTCAGATTTGATGATTGTATTTGACAGAAAAATCAATAGCTTTTTTTTTAGGCAAATGCCTCGTATAACTTCTTAAAGCAGATTCTTTTAAATTTCTTATCTTAAAGGCTACTTTTTCTCTCCTGCATGGTTGTCTTTCCCTATAATTTTCCTGACACTTCTGAAAACTGTGGCATCTGTGGTTATATAGTTAAAATTATGTATTTGTAATATTTTCAATCAGATCATAAGATTTGTTTCATTTGGGAAGTAAAAAGATCTTGACTGATATAGCAGCAGACTTCATAAATTGTGCATAAGAAGGCTTGATGGGATACACATATTTTTGATCACAAATTTATGGTCTTGGCAGAAGGTAATGAATCTAGATGTCTGTGATATGTGTGTTTTATCTTTTATATGCAACTTCAAATATGAAAAACAAAAAACAAAGGTGCCTTTCTGGCCAGAAAGAAAGAATCCTCAAAAAATTCTGCAAAACATTGGTAATTTCTAATGTTGATATAGCAGTGATTATTTGTCTTAATTGTGAAAACTGTAGCAAAGAAGCAAGTAAACTTATTGCATTTCTTTGCTGTGCTTTCCAGCTAAATACAGAAGGGATTGTTTGGTTGCTTCATGTTTTCGACAACTTAAGGCTTCAGGAATTTCAATACTTCTTTGGAAGTGATTTTTGTACTGTTACAGGCTCTTATGTCTTCATTTTAATCTCATGTTGGATTTTCTTTCCTCTACTGCCCATGATCCAGAAGAGATGAGGTTTCTGGAAGGGCTTTATCTTTAGGTAGATTGCTGTTCTTCATGTGGAGAAAATATTAAACTCAAACTGAAAAGTCTTCACAGAATCTGCCATGTTGGAAGGGACCCACAAGGATCATTGAGTCCAACTCCTGGTCCTGCACAGGACTATCCCCAAGACTCACACCATGTGCCTGAGAGAATTGTCCAAATGCTTCTTGAACACTGTGAGGCTTGGTGCTGTAACCACTTCCCTGGGGAGCTTGTTCCAGTGCCCAAACAGCCTCTGGGTAAAGAACCCTTTTCTAATATTCAACCTAAACCTCCCCAACACAACTTCAGGCCGTACCCTCCAGTCCTGTCACTGATCACCACAGAGAAGAGATCTTACAGACCTTCTCAAGGAACCCTCTAAATTGAGAATACAAATCTAAAATCAAAGTATAAGTTCTGCTTGTGCCGCAATTTGCTGTATAGTCTATAACTTTTCAGTTTTAAGAATTGCTATCTTAATGATGCAACATCTGAGCAATTATGAAAAGACTTAAAAAGGATGGGCATATGGTACCAAACTGTAGACTTCTTTGAAATCCTGTGTGTTCAAGGAACAAAGATGTTAAAGGACAAAACCTGATTTAAAGGGGATGGATGATAAGGGTTAGTAAACTGTGCTTTTAAGAATATCGTCTGGGCCCAGTTTCTTGTTAGTTAATTGGAATCACAGGACATTAATGTAATGATGAGCACCAAACATCTTCCAACAATTTTAAACATGTTCTTTGGCATATGTTTCATATGTAAAGTAATTAACCAGAAACCTCACAACTACTAAGTCGTATTTTCCAGCTCCTGTAACTCGTCCCTCTATTTGTTTCTGAAACAAAAGTTCCACATTGGTTGAATGTATGGGCAGTAACACATGCTCTGTTAAAATACTGGAAAAGGCTGTTGAACTAATGTGAGTGGCTGCACAGGAAAACATTTTTAGTGCAAAAACCAGATTATTCTTAAGAGATCTGTAATTAATATTTGGCCTAAAACATTAAGCTAGAAAAGTGGGAATAGACTATTCAGAGTTGAGTGTCTGGAGCTTTGTTTTGGCTTGAAAGAAAAGTGTTGCATGGTTACAATTTATAAATTGTTATACTTTTCTTTGTATTATTTCCACACAAACATTTGTGTGTAGTGTTTATAATAGTAGGACTAATTTGCTTGCCTACGCCCCCTTGACTGCTAAAATAAGTAGATGTCATGTTGCATTCTTTATTCAAGCATTTATTGTTTTACTAAAGTATAGCCTAAACCACAGTCTTCCTTATCCAGCAGCACTTAATAAGAGGAGAAAAAAAAATTCTTCAAGTTACTTTTTGGTAGGTCTTTAGAATTTCCAAAACATTATATAGCTTTGCTAATGATGGATCAAGCAAAAGTTATCTTAACTTTTTTTATTAATCCCAGCATATTATCAAGTACTTAGGAAATTGCTGATTTCAAATGTATGCAACATAACAAGCTTCGAGTTCTGCTTTCATGGAGAAATAGTAATATCACAAAATTTTTAAACACAGGCCTACATACTGTTAGTGCAGGTGATTAAAAGCTTCTGTTTAAAAAACAAAGCTAACTGTAGTAGTTTTAAGAGTTCATAAGGTTTTGATGTATATGATACTTTTAAAGCACATGAATGGTAACTGGTAATTGGAAGAAATGTGCGACCAAATTATAATGGTTTCATAATTTATAAACTAACTTACTTTATGCCATATACTCTTTATGAAGTACCATAACACATTAATGAACTGTCTAATGTTTATGAGACATGAGTATATGTAGATATGGTAAATATGGTTATGTCTGCTGACTAATTACTGCCATCATCTGATAAATTTACCAAATAAGTAAAATATATTCCCCACACTATTGTTTTTTAAAGGAATTAACAGTTCAGGGAAATTCAGGGCAAGGATTATCTCCAATTTTGGGGTGGTAAATCTGCTTTGATTTTCTGTCTGCATGCTTGTGAAGATATGTTCTTAATATTTGGATTTTGTGAGAGTTATTTTACAGTACTCCGAATATTCTATTTTTACAGAATATTAGGAGATATAAAAATATTGAACTAGTTTGTTGCAGCAATGTGTATCAAAGAAAGCTAAGTGGATTTAAAGGTTTCGATCTGGTTGCTTTTTTGTATTGCGAAAGTCTTAGATCTCCAGTAACGTGTAATAATTTGTAAATCTACCTTTCCCCGAGGTACTTATTCATTAATAAGAACAGTGTAACTAAATGAAAACTGTGACATGATGTGCACTATATTAGAGTTGTTATTCTTGAGTCCCGTTTGATAGCTTAAAGATGAAGCTGGCCACAGAATGTTCCTGAAGTATATTATTCAGCTGTTGTGATGACTGAAGTGTATTCGAGACCATTTACTTTGAATAAAATACCTTCAGTTAATTCAAGTGTAGTGAAGTATGATCTAGAATTCTTTATGTGTTAGAGAAGTGATAGTTACAAATTCTGATTTTCCTTTTAAAAGAAAAGAAAAAAGAGAGGCTAGTGCATTATATTAATTCATAAAATTTTAATGTTGCATTTAGTCAGACAATTGATCATCATTTGAAACAAATTTTTTATGACAAATGTCTAAAAACATACAATATTATTCTACCGGGTTTGAACCACTCTCCACCTCCTCACTCCCTCCTCTATTACTTTTGCAACATTGAAGTTGCAACAAAGTTCTAATGATAAATCCAATCGGCACCCAGTTACAATGGTCTGAAGGAGAGTGTGTCAGGACAGGCTAAGTGGTATGTTTTTAGATATGAGCAAACAGGAAACCTGAGAAAGAAGAGTGAACATAGTCAGAGGAGTAGAGACCATTGGATTCTGAATTGGGCAGTTGGAGCCATACTTGGTCATTCTCCATGAGATCAATGACAGCACTGCCAGAAGCTTGGTCAAGGTATCCTTTCTTGTACTCATCGTAGGTGTACATGATGGGGGAACCATTTTTGTAGAGTGCGACCCAAACGTTTGTTCCCTTTGCATGTACATGGTAGGAGAAATAGTACAGTCCAGGGGTCCTGCAGGTGAAGATTCCTGTTCTGGGGTCATAGTGTTGCTGCCTATTGTACAAGATTTTATCAAATTTGATGGGGACTGTTGCCGCAGGGTAGGCTTTTGAGAGGATGACACTGAAAGCAGACACTGGCATCCCTGTAAGAGCTTGGTTCACTCCTCCCTTTATGAAAGATATTCCTGACAGCTCCCGAGACTCTCCTGCTTTAACATAGCCTTCGGGCATCTGTGGGATTACAGCTTGGCCGGGGGGACCGGGAGGCCCTGGGGGTCCTGGCAAGCCAGGCTCGCCAGTGCTGCCTTTAGGCCCAGGGGGTCCGGGTGGTCCCATGGGTCCGCTTAAGCCTTTCGTGGAAATACCTGCTGGGCCTGGCAGTCCTGGTGCTCCTGGCTCACCCTTCGCACCAGGGGTTCCTGGAAGACCAGGGGGGCCAATGGGACCTCTGATCCCAGGTATTCCTGAAGGCCCTCTGGGGCCTGGTTCTCCGTTGATCCCTGGCACTCCCTTGGCTCCTTGTGGACCCATTGGACCAGGCAATCCAGGTAGCCCGGCATGGCCAATGTCACCTTTCGGACCTGGGAGACCCGGCTGTCCCTTAGGACCAGCAAGACCCTGCTCACCTGGATATCCTGGTTTTCCCTCTGCCCCTGGTAAGCCTCGTTCCCCCTTGGCCCCTGGGAATCCTGGGAGGCCTGCAGGGCCCGTGTCACCTTTGGGCCCAGGGAGGCCATTCTCACCAGGCAAACCTTTGAGTCCATGAGGGCCCATGTTCCCTGGTGGCCCAGCCGGCCCTGGTTCTCCTGGCACACCAGCTGGGCCTTGGTCTCCTTTAAGTCCTGGAAGGCCAGGAGGACCTTCAGGCCCTCTGTGTCCCTTCATCCCTGGCAATCCTGGCTTTCCAAAACCTGGAAGACCTGGGGATCCAGGCAAGCCTGCAGGTCCAGGATGTCCCTTGGCTCCAGGGATACCTGCTGCTCCTGGTGGTCCCATTGGCCCAGGCTTGCCAATGCCAGCTTCTCCAGGTTCACCTGGGAGACCCTGGGGACCAGGGAGACCAGCCGCCCCGGGTGCACCTGGAAAACCTCGATCACCTTTCAGACCTGGCTGACCTGGAAGACCGTTTTCACCAGGCTTCCCTACTCCAGTAGGACCAGGGGGGCCCCGGGGTCCCTGTGGGCCTGGAAGACCCCTGCTACCTGGGCGGCCTGGAATGCCAAATCCATTTTCTCCCTTTTGTCCATTTATACCAGGGATACCTGGCTCTCCCTTCTCACCAGGGGGGCCCCTCGGCCCCTGAGCACCTGGAGGGCCTTGTGGTCCTGGCTTGCCAGGAACAGACAGTCCTGCGGGGCCAGGAGTGCCGGGGGGTCCTTGTGGTCCTCTTGCTCCTGGGAGTCCAGCAGGTCCAGGTTCTCCTTTCTCACCGTTTAGTCCTCTGTCTCCTTGCTTTCCTGGTAGACCTGGCACACCTGGCTTTCCAACTGCAGAGAATCCAGGTGGTCCTGGGGGACCAGGGGGGCCTTGGGGACCTGGACTTCCAAACCCTGGCTTTCCTGCAGGACCTGGTTGTCCTCTTGGTCCAACAGGGCCTGGGGGACCAGGGGGTCCTTGTTCCCCCCTTACCTGCACACCTGTGAGAGAGAGGAAAGCAGATCAAGCAGGGCATCTATAACATATTTGCAGGCATGGAGCACTGTGGTGAAATGCATGAAAGGTTAACGTAACTTGAACTTTGTAGAAGTCGAGTTTCAACTACTGTGTTGGCCACTGACAACCTGACATTCAGAGGAAAAGTGTTTCAGAGCTCTTACAAGTAACGACTGCAAATTTGTTGGAAATGTGAGCTACAAAGCCTCTAGAATTTTTTTTATTTTTTTATTTTTTTGCTTAAATACATTTAGGGTAAATAGAGAGCTTAAAAAATGCTGTGCAAGCAGATGCAAACTATTAAGTAAGGGAAAAAAACAAAAAAAAACAACTAGGGAACAGGTGTAGCGGGGTCACCAGACTTTTGTCGTCATGAATGAAACCACGGAAAGTTTTCTGTGCAGGTGTAGCAGCTTTTCTGAAACTACTTAGTGCTACATTTAAGTAGTGAGATTTTTGTCCTTCTCTGCACCCTACTTCCAAAAGTGGGCTATGATTCTGGTTCTTTTGTAAATATGTAATGTTGTATTTTTAAATACTGTCTGAAAAACTTATGTCTGTCATAAAAATCTTACACAATGGGAATGTCACAACTGATAATTTCTTTTACTGCTGTCAGAATTCTGGCACTGGTTTGTTTTTTAATAATACTTCATTTTCTTAGTTATCAAAACAGCAGGTGGAGCCACTTAACCAAATGTCACAAACAGAGAAATAAACAAATAAGCTCACTGCTTAGTTTTCTGCGTGTTTTGGATGAGTCTGCAGTTTCACATTGGAATTAGGATGTTGATTTGTGGGACATGACATACAAGTTTAATATGGATATTGTAAGACTGCTTTAGTAGCTTGCAGCAACTGGCAGCATTATAGAACAATATGACATACATATGATGAATGTTAATTTAAGAAGTAATTTTAAAATAAAAACTGAAGGATACAAAAAGAGCCTGGATTCTGTTTTTTATAATGGCCACATATTCTGTTTAATGCTTATTTAGAAAAGGTTGCTAATTGATCAACAATTGTATCAGCTATAATTTGCCTTTCAATCTCTCACAAAAAGAGCAGTTTATGTGTGTGTATACATATATTATATATGTGTATATATATACACAGATATGAAAGTTTATGCAATGGCTGTTTGGCTGTCTCTTAGATAATAAATTGCATTTTCTAATCTGTGGCTAGTCTTGAAACAAAAATGAGGTGAAGGAGGAAACTATTCTTGTACATATTGTATTTTAAAAAATACTAGTGGTACGTATATGAAATACATTTGATTTTGTTTGTTATTGGATCTACAAGGTTACCTTCTTCCTCCATCGACAGGGAAATTGTTCTTATCAAGAAAGTGCAGAGAGTGCCTTTTTTTTTGCTGATGCATAAAATCAGTACAAATGCATATCGCCTTATTTTAAACACCTTCCTATGTCATCCTTCTCAAGGCAATAAAAAGCAAGATAGCTGTTAAAATCCTACACACAGAAAGCAAAAAGGTGCTTTTTTTTGGTAGCAAATTGCTTCAGATTTTAGCTTGATAGTGCATCTCTTTCTTGCATTTTACCATATTTTGTATGAAATTATATCAGTCCTAGGTTCACAGAGTGGGTGGGTATTGCCTTTTTTGCATAAGATGATAAAGGCTTTGTCAGTATTCGTGTTGTTATAGAAGTTTTCTATGAGGAGCTATATTGTTTCAAATCTGTACTGCTTTTAGATTAAAATTGTAATTTTAATTGTGCTGTCTAAAGACTGATAATTCCTCTGAGGAAAGGATTGCTGAACCCATTAATAAAATGGGATTTTTACCAAGAAAATGGAAGTATTGGTTGGCTACTCTTTTGTATGTCTCAGCACATACCTTGATGCAAAATTGTTATACATTCTGTAAGTGCAGTCAAACACTATAAATGTATTGAATTAAGTATGTAGACTTTAAAATAACCTGCAATAATGGCTTATTTAAACACTGCTGAATAATCAGACCTAATTCAACTATTATTTTCGGCTTGGACTTCTCAAATATTTCAAGCCAAAGAACTACTGGTTAAAAAATTATGTTCTGGTAATTTTAAAAAATGTTAACACTAAATGCCTAAAGAAAAGGAAAGTGTATTCTGACTGACTGGAGAGCTGTCAAGAACAAGATTTTTAAAACTGTTAAAACAATTTAATCAAATTAAATGAAGATTTAGTAGGCTTTGGTTGCCAACAGGAATCTTATGAACTATTAAATGTTGTCCTGGCCCTTAGTTTGGACCTAGACTAAAATTTCAGTTCCATGATTAGTAATGATGATCTCTAACCATCTTCCATCTTTGAATTCTTCTAAAAACTCTATGTAGGATGCTTGTTTTCCATACTCAAGAATAGCAGTCCTCCATTTTGATGTTTGTTCACCAAATGAAAATTTGTCAAGAACTTTTGAATGACTGGACTCCCACATCTGTAAATCTCTAGGCTGTTCCTGCTTTTGAGTTCTAGTATGTAGTCTTTACTACCTTTCCTAAATGGACAGCACTGTACACTTCTCAGATATTGATATAATCATTCTCATTCTAAATGTGAATTTTGACTCATATTAGTTACAGTGTGAGTTTATAAAGTGAAAACTTAGTTCAGGACAATTCATTTCCCCTTTCACCCCATATCCTGTCTACCCTGATTCTTCCTTATGAGGAGAAGTAAATGAAGTATGATAGAGGATAACCAAGCAAATATTGTACTTCAGTTTAAGATAGTATAAATATGTAAATTATTCTGAATAAAGTCATGGAAAAGCACTATGAAAAGTTAATGAGGGGAGAGGGAGGAAATGCAGCTTTTAACTCAGTGAGAATTCTAGTTAATAAGTCCTCAGAGTAGCCGTTTATGTACATATACCTCAATTTGATCTGGGAGTGCTATTAGGATTCCAGAAAGTCCTTGTGCTGAAGGCAATGGATGAAACTGTGACAGTATTTTGGTGCAGCTCAGAAGAACCTTCTGGGGGGTAAGTTTCCCAGCCATGCTGCTTTCACTTGGTTCTTACTGCAGAGATTCTTGGACCATGGGGGCTGGAGCTGGTTGGTATGAGACCAGAATCCCTTTGGACTCAGTGTGTGCTGCACATGAGCAGTCAGTCCGTAGGATTAGACTAGAGTTATTCTGAAACATAGCCTACTAAAAGAAGGTAATGTGAATGCAATACCCTCAGCAGCAACTGTTCTGCTCTCCAGATTTGTTCTGTGTCCTTTTTCTGATGAAGAGATGCTTATTTGCAAATGGTATTTTCCAAGTCTCTCATTCAGTTTCCTCATTTCTGCTCAAGTGTGATTATTACAACTAAAAGTAGATGGGATACAGCAAAAATGAAAGCTATTCTTAATAGCCTATGCTGTCTGTAAGAAAATAATGCTGTTCTCGGGGGAGAGGGTAAAGCAGGATGTTTACAAGGAAGATTTAGTTCTCTTAATTTTAGTAGTGACAATTCTGAATAGACAGTACTGATCAGAAGCTTTGATTTCAAGTTTTTAAAAAAGAGTTTGACCTAAGCATGGAAAAATAAAACAGAACTCAAATAGTTTCAAACACTAGGTATAGCCACCCATTTGACTTAAAAGGACAGAGAGGATAACCAAAAATAAGATTGTACAATGTATAGCATTGCAGTAATGTATTACATGCAACCTGCCACAGGACTGACTTATGCAATGAAGAGATTTTTTTTTTTAATAATAAAGCTAGAATTGTTATATTACTACGAGATTAGTCTGATAATTATAGTATAAGCTTAAATCACTCATGAAAAAAATTATGTAGATGTTCACGTCACATTTATATTATATATCATATATATATATCTCATAACTATATATCATTTCATTTTACCTTTCTAGGCTTCAAACTGGTCTTCATTTGCCCATGTGTATCATATATAAATTTAAATTCACACTTAAGGTCTGTTTTAAATAGTAATAACATGATTAAATATGTAGAAGTTCTTCTTGAATATTGTAGG